TATATCCTTTTCCTTAACCCACATTACAACCCGTGAAGTCCTCTTGATTCGCAAGTTTTTGAGCTTTGATTGTTTTCGAGTAATTTAAACGAATGACAAGCATATGTTGAAACTTGAATATTGACCAATTTTTGAGCGTACATATCATATATGCATGTAAGAAAATGAGTGAGGCATATATGATGATCTATGTTTGAGAGTTTGTCATTTCAGGGTCAAGTTCATATTTTAGGCATATGGTCGTGCAGTCGTTGGAATTCGACTCAACTGAATTGGGCATTTTGAAACTCTTCTTATTTGAAACCATATCATGCTCGTGTCTTGTTTTCTTTTTCTTTTTGTTCGGGATGAACAAAGGTTTAAGTGTGGGAGAGTTGTTTGTCCCATTTTTGTTGCGTTTTTCGTTGTTGTTTTGTCATTCTTTTCCCCCCATTTTAGGTGTTTTTGTTGGTTTGTAGTTCATTTTGTTGATTATGGTGTGTTTTCCTTTATTTTGGTTTCCTTTGTGTTTTTCGTGTGTTTTTCCCGTTTTCTTTATTTTTTGGTGTGCAGGTCGGAGGCCCCATGAGGAATAGATTTAGTCCGGAAAACCATGGTTGTGTAGATGGGTTCGTTGGCTACACATAGGAAAAACCGGAACTCAATTTCGAGTTCGTATGAGTCCAGGCGGGCCCAAAACGCGAAGTCGCGTGAAGTCGCACGCGAATCACGCCTTTAGTGTGATGGTCAAGAGCTTTGTGAGAATTGCATTTCAAGAATAATTTGGCCATTCAAGCTTCATTGAATAGAGGGGTTCGTTAGCAACGCGTAGGAAAAAACGGAGCTCAATTCCGAATTCGGACGAGCTCAAACGAGCCAAAAACGCAAAGTCGCGCTGCCCAGACACCTTAGCGGCGCTAAGGCTCACTTATCTAGCGGCGCTAGACCATGTTAGCGACCCCAGAGACTCGCAACTTTCATCCCTTAGCGCCGCTAACCCCCCTTAGCGGCGCTAAGGCCCCCTGCAGGTCCCAAAATAGTATAAAAACCCCAAAAACTCGTTTTCTTCTCCATTCTTTCACTTCCAGCTTGAAGGGGGAGGAACCCTAGGTCCGAAAATCACCTCCCCCCTTCACTTTCCCTTCTTCTTCTTCTCTTCTCCTCTTCTCCATCTTTCTTCTTCTTTTTATCTTTATTTTCCATTTTTTTTCTCTTTCGTCTTCGGATTAAGCTTGTATTATGAATTCGACTTTGGACCTTGGATTGATTGTAAGCTTTTCTCTCTTGTTTAATTCATGAATAATGATTAAATTTGGAGAATTGATTTATTTTGTTGAATTCAATATGCGTAGCTAATTCGTATCGCTGGGGATAGGGGAATGATTATTCTTGTTTAACGTGCGTCTCTCGGGCTTGAAATTGTTCGTTCTTATGTGAGTTGTTTTGATTAGGGATTGATATAATCTTGCTTGATTGATTGATATAATCGAAGAGTGACACTTCGATCTTGCAATTGGTAACAATTGAATGTTGATTAGTCGAGTTAGGGTTTTGTTGATTCTATGCGATTAGTTGATTAAGCACCTTCTAGTTAATTAGCGACTTGTAGAACCGAAAGGGAGAAGTCGTTGACCTAAGCTCACATGAGGTAGACGATGTCGTAATTGACTAATCTACGTGTTTTAGATTGAAATACGCACTTGTCGATGACCCGTCCCTTGTTATGAAAAGTTATTGGGATTGGGATAATTGGCCTGTGTTGTATGCTCGAACTTGTTCGTCTATGTTCAATCCCTTGTTACGAAGAGTTATTGGGAGCGAACCGCTGGATGTCTAAGCGAGAGTGTCAATCTCCAACCGAACAATGAATTGCCCGATTTTGCTAGAACTTGAATTAATTGTCCCCGATTCCCTAGCTTCTCCATCTTTATTTCGTTTATCTTCTTAGGTAGGTTATTGTTTTTTATTATTTCTTAGCTGATAATTATTCAAACCCCCTTATCTGATTAGTATGTTTAGGATTTTATTTGCTTTTATGTGTTATCAATATCAAAGCTAAATTCCGAACAGCCTTCCTCGTGAGATCGACCCGGGGAACGAATCTTTAGATTCAGTACTCGGTAAAAAGAATAATTTGTACACAACACCGACCCTATCTCGAATATCCTCATTTCGGATTTTGTCTCTTCTTGAGTGCCGGCGAAACCAACGCAACATCTGAATCTCTGCTACACTTAGTTGTTGGACATGTTGCCTTTTTGTAGGCCAACATTCAGCACCGTATAGCATCGTCGGGCGAATCGTCGTCCTATAGAACTTACCTCTTAGTTTTTGTGGCACCCTCTTATCACAGAGAACGCCCAAAGCTTGACGCCATTTCAACCAACCGACTGCAATTCTATGCCTAACATCTTCATCAATGCCGCCATCCTTTTGTAGCATCGATCCTAAATACCGAAAAGTCTCCTTCTTGGCCACCACTTGCCCGTTAAGGCTAACGTCACCATCATCATGAGTAGCCATGCTGAAAGCGCACGTCATGTACTCGGTCTTCGACCTACTAAGTCTGAAGCCTTTCGACTCTAACGTGTTCTGCCACAACTCTAACTTCCTATTTATCCCTGCCATACTCTCGTCAACTAGTACCACATCATCAGCAAAGAGCATACACCAAGGGATATCACCTTGTATGTCCCTTGTGGCCTCATCCATCACCAAGGCAAATAAATAAGGGCTCAATGCTGACCCATGGTGTAGTCCTATTTTAATTGGGAAGTCGCTGGTATCGCCCCCACATGTTCGGACACACGTTATCGCATCCTTGTACGTATCCTTTATGAGGGTAATGTAAAAAATAAAAAAAGAAGAAGACTCACGATGTAGATTAAAAAAAATTGATTTGTCGATTAGTAGTGACATGATGTACATTAATTAACAAAAAAAAAACCATAAGAATTCCAAAGTGCTAGATCTACGTAAAAATTTGTTGTCTTTCTTTTTTTCTCCAACATGAGTTTGACTCAAGTGGTAAGCAACTTGATGTCGCTTAAGCAAGATCTAGGGTTCGAGCATAACTTCGTATACCATGACTAGCTAAAAAAAAAATTTTTTTTTTTTGTTTTTTTTTAGAAAAACATGTTCATAGGCACAAAAAGAAACATACAAAAGTGATCACGGGCGCAATTGTCAAATGAAAATCACTTCTCATTTGCCTTTCCCGTATTCACTTAGGACAAAATGTTATTGCGCACATCAAGCAAAATCGTTAAAATTGACGTTACAATATCATCAAATCAAAACGAATCAAATATTGAATAATAAATTTGGAATGTTGAATCAACTTCCCATCAGCAATCACATTGACTTTAGAGTATGCTACATCCGAGATAAATTAATAGACAATGCCAGAGATACCCTGAAGATTTGCAGGAAGTAATGCCACATAACAAAGAAAAATTAATAAATGGAATATCCTAGCCAGTTCTACCAGCTAACAGCTGCCTGTGGATATCAAATATGGGCAGTGAGAATTGGGGAGAACCATAATGATGGATTTCTACTCTTCAATTGGAACTCGCAGTAGTTAGCTTTGGAATACCATATACAAGTAAAAGTAAATAGGAGAGTCGGCAATTAGGCTTTTGATCGGAGATCACGAGGGAGCAAGGATATCACCATCAGAGAACCTCCACGATCCATCATCTTGCCTCTTCAGAAGATAACGAATTTTATAAGGACTGTAACCAACAAGACCGACATTTAGAGAAACATCCTAAATGTAAATGATGCATAATTGTGATGCATTCTGTAACATGCATCTGGCGGGACATAAATTGAAAACTGATGAAAAGTTGGAAATTCCAACACACACACACACACACACACACACACACACTTTAGCAGTTGTCCAGAGTTAAAATAAAAATGCAGTCCTTGTAACACACTCGGTAACGGACCTCACGTGAGTCAGATGAAAGCATTGTGAAACATAAAGTACCACAAATAACACCAGACCTTATGTTCGAGCACTTGTTATGGTGAAATTTCAGATTACCTGTAGTAAGTTGGGTTTTTAGGTTGGGATTCACCGACCAGTTCAGCTGCTTCCTCCAACAAAACTTCAATCTCTGCCATTTCATTTCCTGTCGCATCCTTCAAAATGTTTGCGTTCAGAATTGTCAACTGCAGCAGAACAAACCTCCAAAAGCATGACCTTGCCTTTGCTGCATTGGCCAATTCTTGCCACTACAACATGTCCATTGAGCAAACGTTAATAGACGCTAATAGCTCATACAAATAATTTAAGTTAAGTTTTGATGGAATTATAAGTTCAACAAAACGCGCCAGAATAGGCTGGGTTGCAAAATAAAACTACTGCAATTAGCTTAAGTATACAGAACAATGCTTCAACACAATCATGATATGGTCTCACCTGAACTAGCATTGATCCTTCAAGGATATCAACCAGTCCAACAATATAATGATTAGGCCCAAGTGCTTCTGCTTTAATTGTTTGCCATTGCTTGACAAGGGCCTCAGCAACTTCAACAGGCATTGGCTGCTTATACGTTATTGAAGTAGAAAGACCAGAAGATAGGGAAGCAGTTTGCAAAACTGCAGATTCTGGTTGCTCCTCCAACTGATTTTTCAGAAGCGAAAGGACTTTCCTGATGTTTCTTGAAATACCACTTTGCTTAAGTTTTGCATCAGCGTATCTGAAGCCCACATGAGAACTTTGTCCATCCATTCTCCATCTGGATCCATTTCGTGGTATCCACATTTTCACGTTCACTAGCTTAAACAGAACAACCAAGATGCAGCCTAGTGCTGTAGCATATATCATCTTTCCAACAACGTGACGAAAGCTCAACCAAGTTTTCCAGACGTCACGCTGCTTCGAACCTAAAGTTCGTTTCAACTGAATAGATGGTGAAACTACATTGATTCCAGCAACGACCTTGCTCTCTATTAGTGGATTTTGCAAATTAGGAGGAGCCAATTGCTTGACAGCTGGTCCAAGATGTCGCGAAGATTCTGTGATTGAAAATGGTTCTTCATCTCTTTGATCCAGTGGAATGGTACCAGCAATTGATCTGGCCCTCATGTTAGATGAAGCTGGTGGGTCTTTTTTATTCAGCCTCTTGCCAGAAGCTCTTTTTTCACCAATAAAGAATTCCGCCTGTCATTAGTACCAGAATTTAGCATTTGTCGATGAAAACCCAATTCATTTAGTAGTATAGTTAAAAGCTTTTACCAGAGATGGGGAACAATCTCGGGTATCTGGGAATAAGCCAAGGGCAGCTTCTTTCACCCATGTTTCCTAGAAATGCAGGAGAAGAGTCTGTGAGAAGCATCAGACTTACTAGGTAAAAGTTACATTAGAACTTAAATTCATGACACGTGAACACAAACCAAGGCAATGTTTCTATTCTTTCTTTTCTAGGCTCCTCCTCCTCCATCTCTCTTTTTTTTTTTTTGGTGGG